CATATCGTTAGTTGGCGCACATCCTATTACATATTACATCCCAAATACTTAAATCCCCTAAAATCACAGCAAATAAAACCATCTAGAGTCTAGAGTCTATCGTATTCTATAGTTCCCACAACGCATGGTGGCCATATCTTTTCCGTGGACCTCCGCCAGCAGGTTTTGAGCGACCGCTGGCGGTCGATGATCACCCGCTGTTGCGGCGCCTTTCCTGGGATGCCGCCGGAAGTGGTTCCTTGGCGCGGCGATGGGGGCGCCATGGGAACGTGGTCGAACGTGGTGAATGTGCTGAAGATGTTCTACTCGCATGGGCAGTTCTGAAAGGGGAACACCGGATTTGTTTATTGTTTTGCAATTGTGCAAAACATCAAGAAAGGGTTTCGTCAGCTGTGTCTGGGACAAACCCAGACAGTGCAGTTTGTATACTATACAAGAATCAGAACTATTTTGCCTCAGCTTGGAGGTATGAGACATCGGGTATGTCTCAGGGCATTCCACCCATAGCCTGTTTTCCACAAGAGCGATCAACCTGTGAGAATCGAATTCTCACAGCGAAGTCCATTGCCCCAAGAAACATCATTATCATCATTGTTTTCGATGATATTTTGTCTAGGTACAGTCGAATCTAATGGACACCCAGACATTTAACTGGTTGGTGGTTTGGAACATGATTTTTATTTTTCCATTCAGTTGGGAATAGTAATGCCAACTGACTTTCATATTTTTCAGAGGGGTAGGTATACCACTCATAGAATTGGATGATGGGAAAATTTACAGGAAAGCCCTATATTTGATGGTAAAAACCATGGTTTCCGGTTAAGATTTTCCCAACAAAACCAATCCATTGAACCACCAACCAGGTAATTTCTCCAAGTTAGCTGCAACTAACAGGCAGAAACTGGGAGAAGATCAGGCCTTCGGGCCTTCGGCTTCACCCAGGAAGATTCAGCAAATCGTTGAAGGCCATGTTCAGCAGTGAACTTTACATGCTTGGCTCACCCATTGATTCATATTTATATGTCTATAAATATACATAGATATATATATATATATATAATAATTATATATATATATAAATATATGTATACAAACTAGAGTGTTGCCATGTCAATGGTTCTATTCACAGCTCCGGCTCCAACATATTTTGGATCCCAGTAGTCTTTTTTGGTCAATCGGTTCTTTTTCTTTGGTGTAATGATAGCTGGTTGGTGGTTTGGAAAATTTGGATTATTTTTCCATAATTATTGGGAATAATCATCCCAACTGACTTTCATATTTTTCAGATGGGTTCAAACCACCAACCAGATAGGGTTTTCGGCCAATGGTTTTGCTGGCAAGCCAATGATTCGGCAGGGCGGAGGGGAACTGACCTGACCAGGACCACGGTTTGGTTGTGTAAATTTAAATCAGTTTTCTAGATGCAACAACTATTAACTCAATAAGACTGAAAAAGCAACTATTAATTGAAAACTGAGACATGACATTGAGATATATTGACATATTGACATATATTAACATATATTGACATATTGATTTAAGAACTAATCCTTGTGGATTGAGGAAAGGTTCGTGCTGGTTGTGGGAATGGACCAATGGAATGCCTGGTGGTGAACAATGCAGAACCACGATGAGAAGCATCGCTGGCCGGCAGATGGCCAATCTTGTCCACTATGAAAGCCAAGTCAGATCCAGTCAACTTAAGACTCCCGCGGCGGAAAGAGAAAGTCAGGATGTCACGATGAGCGCGTCACTTGGAGTGTCACGCACACTCCTGAGGTCAGCTGGGTATCTTTGGGGAGTCAGCTGAGGTCAGCCCACCAGGTTTTTGGCATCAGGAGCCGTTGGACACCTTCATGCCCCATACATACATTGAAAATAGAGCAATGTTCCAATCAACCTTAACATCATGTATGCATATGTATGCAAGAAAATTGCTTACATGTACCTTGATATACCTTAATAACATTGAATAACTCTATGAATCCTTAATAAATTTAATGATGTTCCAGTCTCGTGGATGATTCAAGACCCAAAACTCCCCAGGTTTGGGCCATTGCAGAGAAAGCTCAGCAAATGGAAGTGGCTGCTGGGGAGGTGGGAATGGCCATACCTTGGTTTCCTGAAGATGATTTTTGTTTTTTTTCCCAATGGGAAATCCACTACGACTGGGGAATTGATTAAGAGAATATGTTTATCTTTTGGGGTTGTTCAAGCAAATACAAGTATATTCTGTCATGATGTGAAGTAGCATCAAATGCTGTGGTATTCAGTAATCGACATATGTTTTTTTGTTCACAATTGGTAACAAAGGTTGCTTAAGTGCAGTGTTCAAAGTTGTGATGAACATGAACGTGCTTAAATGTGCTAGCCTGCGACTTGTGCAACGTGCCATGTCACACCCATCGCTGCCACGTAGCGGTGGTTTTTACACGATCGAACTGCTGCACTTTTCTACATGGATTGTAGCCATACACTTCCACTATTTTAGTGCTTTGAGGGGCAAAGAAATGGGTAACCGACATATTGTTCACCAAAGGATTTCAACTTTTGGGGGACCAACACAGCACAAAGTAAGCAAGTAACCGCTAAGCCCCAGCCCCTGACCCTGCGCTACGAGGTCTTCGTAAAGGAAGGCGATGAGGACGAAGACCTGATTCTGATTGAAGAAGGAATAGCCATAGCAGCTTGGACTGCCTGGACTGCCTGGACTGAAATCTCATGGGTACCATCACTGGTTGGTGGTTTGGAACATGTTTTATTGTCCATTTCATATATGGGATGTCATCCTTCCCATTGACGAACTCATATTTTTCAAGATGCTTAAAACATGTTAAAACATGTTAAAACCACCGTAACCAGATTAAGAGAAGGTGGAATTTATGGCTGCTCCGGTGTGAATTGATGGTACCATATGGTACCATCAACCCGTGCTGATCTGCAGAGGTTGAAAAGACAGTGGCCAATGGCGATCGTCCCAGGCGGGGGCGGCTTCGTTTTGGTGGCCGTTTTGGGTCGGTAAGATGATGGCCAATGGCTCCGCTTTTGGAACAACTTTTCAAGGCGGCTAGCCTCTGGTTATTTAACATAGCCATGGAAAATCCCTTATAAATGGAGGTTTATAGCTGGGAAAATCATCTGTAAATGGGCCATGTTCCATAGCTATGTTAAATAACCAGAGGGTACATGGAATTCACAGATCTTCTTGCACAGAATGGTTATATTGTTGGTGTCAAGAACTTTGTGTTCCACCTGTTGGGATGAAGCAGAAGGCACACATCTCCTGGGATTGGTTCACGTAGATGTGGGTTGCGGGTTTCAGTCGAGAGAAGCAACCTGCCTCACAAGTGCTGTTGGTAAAATGCTCAGACCGGCTATTGGAATGAGCCAAAAAAATGTGGAAGTATCCTAAAATGGAGGGAACCCCCAAATCATCCATGTCAATAGTATTTTCCATGATTTACCATTGTAAACTACATTAAACTACCATCATCTACCGTCCATTTTGGGGTACCCCCATTTATAGAAAGCCCCATCTTAGACATCCCCATTTTTTCTTGGAGAGGTGACAGAGATGATATGGGGTTGTCTTGAAAATCGGCCGAACTTGCCATAAACTGTGGTATCCCCCATGATGCCCCATGATTTAAATATCTTTAAACAAACGTATTGTTGATAACTATGGTCAGTACCCTCATGGGTAAAGAACCGGTGAAGCTTTGTGCAATGGTGTTTTCATCGTTTGTCAGCATCATTTTGCAGAGTAAAACTGCAATACCCTTGGAATCAAACGTAGCAATGGAAAATCCACCATTTACAATCATTTATACATGATTTTCCCATTAAGAAAACACACACACACACCATTTATAGGGAGTTTCCAGCCAGCTCGGTTTTTTAAATTACCGGAGGGTATGTTCTAATCATTATGCAAATTCTTATCCCATGGTACAGTATTCTCATTATATTCCCATTCTATTTTTTCCAGGTTTTTTCATGTGTTTTCCCCTATCTTGAAGACAATCCCCATATGTGGCAAGCCAAGTTGAAACCATCTCCCTGCGCAGTACGGTGGAGATTGGTCAGTTGGGGGCCACGGCGATCATCGGAGACATCGCCTTGGCTGCTTGGCAGCGAGGAGGGATTTCGCAACCATCCACAGTCCTGATGGTGGATCAATTTCTTGATATTTAATAGTTCCACATCAACTTTTGCATGTTAAATAACACATTGATACACATCAAGTTATGACATGATATGACATATAGTCAGATACAGGTGTGCACACAGAAGAACGAGAGGAGAAACACTCGTGTCAACAAACCATACTCCTACCTGGATATCCCTGGGGATTATCATGCAACTGAGATGCTCATCCAGTGCCACTGCAGATTGGTGCCTCTCTGCCACGTGCAGCCAGTGTTCGGGCCGGCAATGCTACAGAGGCCCGCAAGAATTGGGGATACCCTCTGGTAAATTAACTTGTTGACCCTGAAAATAGCCTAGTTTTAATGGAAACTAATCTTCCAACCCCTATCTGCCAGGGTCTATGTTAATTTACCAGAGGGTAAATACTACTGTTACCCCAAGATGGTGATTTTAAGGGGGAGTATGATGATGAAACATGAGATTGGAGCGTAGATTGAGCCACGTTCAAAACCCTTGTGTTCATGTTTAGGGAGGGCCCCTTTGGAAGGGTGTGGCACAAGCAAAACTCGGGTGGCTGCGGGGATGGGGCTAGCGGCTAGCCCAGATCTGTACACATGGCATTCGGGGCTTACTTCAGGGTTTGGTAAATGTCCCTTTTTAATCCTTTTTAGGGATTTTTAACCTCACCGTACTCAGTATCTGTTGCTGGGTGATGTTTAAATAGGACATTTACAAACTCCTCCTAGAACCCGGTTACTGAACAGAACTGCTCTTGGATTTGGATCCAGTTGCTGCCGACAAGACCTCTGAAGCATTTCGAAGTTGATGACGTATACGTTGACCTCATCGAAATGGGAAGAGATGAGTATACAGCTTCTTCTTCAGCGACTGCACCTGCGAAGTCCTTCAATGCTTGGCCTTGTTTGGTGGTGACCCTTGATCCCCCTTTGCTTGTGCTGCACCACACCCAGCTGGCTTTTGAGTATTCTGGAAACCAAGACCCTGTGGAAACCAAGACCCTGTATCCCGCTTTGCTTCGCGCTGAATTAGAGATGTTTATGGTCCCAGTTGCTTTTCGAGTGGGATTTTGTGGGAATATCAGGTTTTGTCAAGTGTCTACATGGCTTTTCAATGTTGGGCACCCTAAACCCTAAACCGTCCCCATGATTGCATCAAATATCATCATATGCGGCAAAGAAAACCATCCCTAAATGAAAGGCTCATAATTGGTAATACAATGTGTGGTCCCCAAACGATAGCTAAGTTTGTTTATAACTCCAACAACTATGGTTTATGATACTCATAACTAACTATGGTTAGGGGGGTTATAAGCCAACAAGCATAACTAGGGGGCCACACCCCACATTGTAGATTCCATATTAAAATGGAAGGCTTATAATTAGTAAATATTATATAGTTACCCTCTGGTTATTTAACATAGCTTTGGAAAATTGCCGATTTACAGATGATTTTCCCAGCTATAAACCTCCATTTATGGGGGATTTTCCATGGCTATGTTAAATAACCAGATGGTATATGATGCCTCTGGTAATTTGTTACATAGCTATTGAACATGGCCCAGTCGAAATAGTGGATTTACCCATTGAACATGGTGATTATATGTTAAATAACCAGATGGTAATAGGTTGGTTTATAATCCCCATCAACTATAGATACCCCCTAATCAACCCTAGATATTGGACTTATGTTCACCAACTTAGCTAACTGACCGTAATATTTTATTGGAAGATGGTTTACCTATTAAAAATGGTGATTTTCCATGGCAAACTGTTAAATAACCAGATGGCAATAGGTTCACATCAATCGTCGCAAGTTCACCTGCCCCGACCTGCGCAAGCCCTGCGCGTCGCGTTTTTGTCGCCAGATTCTGCGCATCCCAGCTGGAGCCTTGTCGAAGGCCAGGCCTCAGGAGTTCAAGGCTTCGCGACTATGATGATGATGATGATGATGATGATGATGACGATGACGATGACGATGATGATGATGATGATGATGATGATGATGATGATGATGATGATAATGAAGATGAATCGATTGCAATTATAGTTGATGATATATTTGTTTAATAGGTTTTTGTAGTTGAATATATTTGATTGTCGTTGATTATAGTTGATGATAGTTGAATATAGTTGATTATAGTTGGCAATAGCTGATAATCATCATCAACTGACACTAACAATTCACCGTGTATTATTGATATTATATTTAAATGTTATTGGTCCTCATGGTACGTGTCACCTATTATCACTATTATTCATGATGATTGATTGAGTGATCCTTAGTAGATGAGATCTAGGTATGGTTTAAACAGCTTGCAATCTGCAGAAGTGGCGAGAGTTGATCATGGCACTCAATATTTTTCTCACAAGCAACTGCTCTCTTCCCGGTCATTGAGCTGTCCTACTGAATGTGAGGGGCTGTGCCGAGCCCACTGGTCATTTGAGATGCTTGGAGGGAGTTCTCCAAGAGTTGTGCCAATTATAAACTGCTTTCCTCTCCAACACCCCACAGAAGATTGCTACACATTTGCTTCCGCCTTGAGAAAAAAATAGAACGCAAACTCTTGTGGAAGTCTCCCAAATCTGCTTGTAGTCCCTCAATTCAACCATGCCAACCATGCCCAAAACCTCCAGCTCTTTCACACATCCACCAAGTGTCCCTGGATTGTACCTGAAGGGCTATGACAACCCTGAAATATCAAAAAGTGCGGCAAACAAATCTAGTAAGATTAATGATGGGATCATTCCAACCTTCCATTCATCAAAGGTTTCCTCCCCATGATTGATATGTGCGACTATTCAGACTAATTATTCACTCCCTGTCGCTGCTTGAATCCTAACGTTTTTGGTTTCAATCTTTTTAGTTATTACTTTAAAAAACGGATCGTTTCTAGTTAAGTCCATTTTCTTTCTGGTTAAATACAGAATGCCCTGATTAAACTCCATCCCTTCCCGGTACAAAAACTGTCTTCTTGGTGATCGAGTTCTTCTGGACGAGGGGGCCAGTTTGCTTCTGCTGAAGTGTCCTGCTGAAGTTCCTTTCTTCCTGTGTTGACTGCCTTGGTTTCCCAATTTGCTGAGGCAAACAGATACAGGGACCCCACGTTTTTGTATAGGCTTTGTCAACATGCTATTTTTTCATTCCATCCTGGATGGTAAATCATCAGTTTTTCCATGTTTTTCCTATTTTTCATGGCCATTTAGAAGGTATTGTATATTTACCCTCTGGTAAACCTACAAAAAACTATGGAAAAGCACCATGCTATTAATGGGTAAATCAACTATAAGTTGCCATTTGCAATAGCAAACTGTTTGTTTACTAGAGGGTGACCATGATTTCATACCTATTTCATCAACATTTTTGTATGGTATGGCCAGGTGCTGCGGCGTTTCCCCGGAGCCTTACAGGGCATCACTTCTCGCTTAAAGGAGGCCGCGGCGCCGCGTTTGGAACATGGTTATTTTCAGGGTCGCCCTGTCAATTTACCAGAGGGTAACTTATGTTTGTTCCATAAGTTATCATGTTAGCTATGTTAGTATATAGTATAGTATACAGTATACATATGTTAGTTTCCCTATGGTCATTTAAGGGAAGGGACTGAACTATGAACCAGCAAACTACCCTTCACCAGTCGGTTTGTCCAGATATAGCTGAGAAAAGTCAGCATGGCTATTAGTTGTAGGGGTTTGAGACAACTGGTTTTTAGCACTCAATGGTAATAAGGCATCAACTAATACAAAAAACTATATTCAACTACTATGATTCTAAATATTGATCAACACTCTATGCTTATAAAGCATCAATGTTGAACTAAAGCTATTTGGTGATTTACCTGTTCAACATCTATTCCCTGCGTTCAACATGGCCACCCCTGGTGGCCCAGGCTGGCAACTTCCTCATGATGAAGCTGCCGGTGCGTTACGACGTGCGGGGCTCGTCTTTGCTGGGCCATCAAGCAATGGGAGATATCATGGGTTTTCTTGTGGATATACCCAGGAATACCTGGAGATAGTATGATATAGTGGATACCAATATATATATATATTGGATATGGTTGATATAGTTGATATAGTGGATATATAGTGGATATAGATGATTAGCTGGTAACTAAATGATGAAAACATATATCAGGATGGATCAACACCTATGAAATACTATATGATTGGGGGACAATGAACATCCATTTTCCAGCTATCTTCAGGTTCACAAAGGGGGATTCCATGGGTTTCGACCATTGGACTATCCATGGATTTATTATTACTATTGTTGTTATTACTATTACGAGTGGTATTATTATGTATTACTGTATATGTTGTTTGTATATATATATATAATATATGTATCATTATATATAAATATATACATGATTAATATATATATATGCGTTATTATTATTATTATTATTATTATTATTATATACATACGTATATTAATGGATGCATACGGGGATGCATGAACTCAGGATCCAGGCAACCTTTAGGCACCCGGTTTTCGGCACAAACTCCCCAGGTGGTGAACTCCCTGGAACTCTTTGAGGATGCGGATGTCAGCTTCAAAAAGGAGGCACGACCTTCCCCAGTGTTTTTTTTTTGGTGGGGAAGGACTCTTAAAAACAACTGGGGGAAGTGATATCTGGAGAAACTCAAAAGATATCTGGAGAAACTGGCGAAACCATCAAACAATTAGAGCTTTGTTCATTAGCAGGGGATTTCAGGATGATTTCAGCAAGAAAGCATGGGTCAACTGGTGAGATGTGAGAACTGATGTTCCATTCATTATGAACAGATTTGCTAACGAACAAAAAAAGGACCAGGTATCCAAGATTTTCCCGAATTATCAAGCATATCATGGGGATATAGCTATGAACTGATCGTTGTAGGTTCTATTTGGTGGGTAGGGCCATATGTTCATGGGATAATCCAAACACCAAATAAAGCTCATGGATTTAGCCACATGGTTAGGTTGCACTTGATGGTTGGTAGTGAGGCTAAGTTAGTTATACTTGATACCCTCTGGTAAACAAACATAGCTATTGAAAAATTGCCATAGTTTATTTACCCATTAAACATAGTAATTTTCCATAGTTATGTTAGTTTACCAGAGGGTAGTTTTTCATGGTTATGATTATAATCAACCACGGGAGTCCCTTTCAACCAACAAATCAACCACGGAATAGCAGGACTAGCATCGGCTGGTACTTGGGGGAGCCATTCCAGTCATTTGGAACCAGGGCCCCAGGCTCCAGCTGGTCGATAGCTAAGTTGACGTATGATTTGGTTAACGATGGGGTTTATCTTACTGGTGCGTTTTACGTAGGGAATGGATGGGTTGCTGGGGGTTGCTGGGATGATTATTGATAGTTAGCCAGTGGATCATTCCCGAAAATTCCCTGCGTTTAGCACCAGCAAGTTCTGGTGGTTCTCGTTCAGCCGTCAGCCCACTGGCCCGCAGGTAGCTGCACATGGCAAGCGATACGTCTGCACCATTGGAGAAGTGGTGGTGGATGGTCGGCAGTCAGGGTGCCCTTTTTGGAAGTTTGTTTTGGCTCCCGGACCTGACCCCAGGTGGCTGATGATGTAGATATATACTGTAATATATATATACACATATCAAAAGTATAATATATATATATAGATAATATATATATATATACACATATTATAAGTATAATATATATATATATAGTTTATATATATATATAGATAATATATATATAGATAATATATATATATAGTTAACATATATATATATATAGTTAATATCTATATATATATATGTCTAAACTAAATACTTCAGGATGTCGAATTGTTCCGGGATGAATTGAGATGTGCCACGGGACCTAGGTGGTTACAGGAATCTTTGAGTATGGGGCTGTTCAGGTGATGCCTGGGTAACGTCAGCTTACCCACATGTTCACCAGCTTTTTTTCTTTAACATATGTGTTTTGTTGGATGATACCCTCTGGTAAACTAAGATAACTATGGAAATTGGCCCATAGAAATAGTTGATCTAGCTATTATAAATGGTGATTTTCCATAGTTATGTTTGTTTACCAAAGGCTATTAGGAAGTGTTTGTTTGGCATTGCGATTCTGAGTCATGTCAATATACAATTACATTTCGCTATTTTTGGAGTCATAGCTGTATAAGTATACTTGGTGGATGCCGGACTTCGAGTCAACTCCTGAACAGCCTTTTTCAGTGCTACAAACACTGGATCCCGTCAGACCAAGTCACCATGGCTATGTTGCCACCAAGGCCCAACGATTGCATCTACGTCGTGGAGTATGGCGTCTGCAGCGCCTGTCTTATTAAGACATCTTTAGCGCGATTAGGATGATGGCAGCGGCAATCAAATGTGGCAACGGGAAATCTTCATGAATGGAGTTATTCCATGTTATTCCCAGATTGATAGATGTTGGACTTTCCATTGCTACATTTTTGGTGTTTTTTGGAGGGTAAGCAAGTCATGGCTTTGCAGCACATCCTCGTTGCTACAATTTCATTTGTTTTACCAAACATGATTGTTTGGTGCGATGTTTTTTGACCCATGTTTTCTGCAAGTTTGACTTGCCGAAGACAGGTTAGTATGGACACATCTCACAAACTCAAATTTGTGTTGACGATACTTCCAATATCCTTTCTCATATCCTCCATCTAATCAGGTTTATGATTTAATCATGTTACACACATGTTTTGTATCTATACAGTGTGTGTGTGTATAATTGTGTGTATATAAGTTTTTCAAACCCCAACTTAATCTCTTGTTCTTGTTGATCACCTCAGGTGTTCATTCTCATTGTGGGCTGCATCCCTAGGTCTTCAAAACGAGCTCCGGCAAGAACTTGAGGAGGCGTGAGAACGGGTCTGTGGACGAAATCTTCACGACAGAAATCCGAAAGATGTGCAAAATGGATCAACATGGGGTAATTGACACAATAAACACCTAGTTTTGCCATTTGAAGCATTTCTGTGTCTGTTCTTGCAAGTTTTATACATATGGGGTATGGGGGTTACCATCTTTTTTGTGCTTGGTTCTTCGGTCAAAGAGTGATATGAGCTGAGTGTTCTACCTCCGGATGTAGTTGATATTGGAGTACTAGAACTGAGATATTTGCGTAGCGTCTTTGTCACCTGAAACACGGAATTTGGGGCATAGGGACGATGTTGGTTCAGCACGCTCCACTACAGGTATTTGTGCTGTAGATTTACGTATATTATACATACATAGTGTAAATGTATATAATATGTTTTATTATAGTCTTTTCACACTGTCTTTTCACACTGGAAGAAAGGTCAGGAGTAAGGCAGTTTCCATTTTTTATTGCCTCAGTTTTTAAACGATGTATAAGCCGAAGCATCGCCAGGTGTCCTCGGGATCACTCTTTGCGGTGTCGGACACGGTGGTGGGCGAACTCGGTGAACAGGGTGAACAGGGTGAACACGGCCAGCTGTGTAGGGTTAGACGCCAATTCTTTGGCAAAAAGTGCTTCTAAATTTGGGTAACTCGCCAATGATTCAGCTAATTAATTATTAGGGTTAATTGATCCAGGGTTGACTTGAATCTATCTTGATGAAGGACATTTCACCAATTCGAGGATTTACACAACCAAAAAGGGCTGGGTATGGGTGGAAACTTATCATTTGTGCATACTCGATATCAAGAGTCACAGATTCAACCTGACTTTTCGTCAGGGGCTCTTTCATTCATCAAATATGCAGCTTCGGAGCAAAAGCTGCCAAACTCAAACTTGAGACATGTGTTGTGAATAACAAATGACAGCAACCACGAGATTCCTTCGCTATCCTTTGCTACTGTTTTGCCAAGATGCAGATGGATTCAGACAGGATTCAGATGTCAAAAGCCACTTTGGCAGGAAGATGATGTGAAATGAAGCAGTCCCAATTTTTCTCGCCACCATGCCCTAAAACATCCTGCAATTCTTCGCCCACCAGTCGAACATCTGGCACGCTGAGTTTGGTATTTCCCGAACCCCCGGCACCGTGGCGCAGGCTGGAACCGGGTCCCGTAACAGGGGTTCGGGATGGGTATATAACTGGGAACGCGGTGAAGCAACCTCGCCAAATAGACACCAGGGATGTGTGTTTCAGCAGACCAGTGAACAATCAACTCAAAACATCTTACATCATCTTACCGTACATCTAATTTGGGAGTGGACATGCCCCGAATTCTAGAGGACAAGGAATTTTCAGAACTGGCAAGGGCTTGGGTTTTTCTGTGGGCTGGTTGAGCAGAGGGTATGTCTGAAGGGAAACATCTGAGCAGTGGCCAGGGGACAAATTTTTGCAATCAGATGTAATCAGGCTCGGGGTTATACTTTCTATATAGTTGGACAGTATTATGAGGACTGAGAACCCCTTATAAGCCAGTCAGTGTGACAAGATTGTAGCAACAAAAAGTGTATGGCATATCTGAGCTCTGAGGTGGTGAGTCCCTTTGCTGCCATCATGGAAATTCGGCAGAAGGATTGTGAATCGCAGCTGGGGCGGGTGAAATTATCATGATCTTATGGTTGTCAAAGCAGCTAGCTGCTGAGATTTACTATATTTGCTGAGATTTGTTTCTTTCATCCCCCAGTCCGCTGAAACACACACACAATTCCAGTCATCAAGGTCACTTCCAGTGAAGTGTTGTTTTTGCATTTTTTTGATGAGGTGTTTCAGAATATGAACATCTCAACATTGGGGAAACGAACCTTGGTTTTCACGCAGGATTTGACGGATGCCCTGCAGCGACACTATGACAAGAGGCCGAAGGGCTCAGCTTTGTGGCTGGTCACGGTGCAATTGGAGTGGATTTCTTACGCATCTATGGAAAAATGCCCATTTATATAATATATAATACATATAATTATATAGAGATATACATAGATGATTTACCATTTTGACAATGGTGATTTTCCCCTAGCTATGTTAGATTACCAGAGGGTATCCTATATAAATCGGATATAATCTTTATTCCTCCCCCTACTTGGAGGATCCCATCGTTGGTGAAATAAACCATGCTTCATAGGTTCCGTTGTCGTGCGGTTGTCGTTATAGCTACGGTTGCTGTGGGATGATCCTACAACTATTATTACATACCATCCCAATTTGGCTCCCAAATGAACAGATTCGATACACAGCTAGGGTTTCAAATGGGGGGTATTCAATATTAGCGGAGATGGGACTTGTTTTAATCACCTCCATTTATGTATAATTATGTATATATATATATAGATCCTATAGACATAATCATAATTATATATAGTGTGGTTGGTGGTTTGGAACATTTTCTATTTTCCATTTCATATATGGGAGAATCCCAACCCCATTGACGAACTCCATCAGTTTTCAAGCTGGTTAAAAAGGATCCATGTATGGTATATATGCTAACATTTGGGGTATATTGATGGTAAATGTTACCATATATAGCATACCTGGATCCTATGGGGTATATATATATATATATGTGGTTTCATCTTCTTTGGGCTGAGATTTAGCTGTGCTGGTGCAGACTGTCTTCACCCAAGCAGTACTGGACCATTTTGCAGATCCCAGGAGGCCTCCGCCCTTCATGGAGGAGATCCTGTGCCTTGGAGGGAAAAAAAAAAATAGGGCCGGTGAACAGACGGAGAATCCATGATAATCCATGTCAAATCACGGAAATTCTGGAAAATGCAAAAACAACTTAAGCATTGAAGACACATTGAATCTTCCTCAAGACATTCACAATCAAGGATAAACCATGAAATTCCATCAAGAACCATGGCTTTGGAAGCGGATGTTCATAGGAATTTGATGAAGACACAGAGTCTTAAAACAGAACTGGTCGCATCCGAGTCATTCAGTGGCCTAGATCTACTCACAAGGACGTGTTTCATTCCAACTTGCTGAATTCATGATTCGGGAAAACTATTGGAACGGTTCCTGTTTATATGTTTGACTTTGTTTTGACTCCTTTATTAAACAAAAAACCCAAGTTGGCCTTGCAGAAAGAAAAGACGGCATAATATTAGGGGACAAAGCAGTTTCCTGTGAGATTGGGCATTCCAGCGGAAGATGCTGGAACAGAAAGCTATGCAAGTTGTGCCGCTGTTTGCCAGTGATATAATCTCAACGAAACAAAAAGACTCATTACAATCATTATATATGTATACTGTCGATGGTTGCGAAATCCTGCACCTATTGGGATTCCTATGAAGCACACTGAAACTCTGTAAATACTGGGATTGGGATGTGGGATGTTTACCATCTGAGGCCAGCCGCCAGTTCCCTACAGCATCTAGCAGGGTGTCCCAGGGTGTCCCAGGGTGTCCCAGGGGCCCAGCTGTTCAGAAACCCGAGTTTTTTCGCCCCCAAACGATAGACAAGGTTGGTTCATAACTGTAAATAAAAGTCCAATCACTTTCTGGAAAAATCAATGTCTATGATGCTAAAAAAAACATCTTATAACTATAGTAAATACCCTCTTGTAAACTAACATGACTATAGAACATCACCATTTTTAAGAGGTAAATCATCTATAAATGGGCCATTTTCCATAGCTATGTTAGTTTACCAGAGGGTAGGGAGAAATAGGGTTCAAAAGGCCAACTTTTTTCACTGGGGACCCCACGACTTGCAAGTCGTGGCCATGTGGGGAAATGAGGATTCACCTCTTGAAGTTCCAGGACAAAACATGACAATAAGAACTGAACAGTGAGGTGTACCCTCTGGTAAACTAACATAGCATAACATAGCTATTGAAAATGACCATAGAAATAGTGGATTTTCCCATTCAACATGGTGATTTTCCATAGCTTTCTGTATGTTTACCAGAGGGTAAGTGCTGGGTCAAATCCACATTTTGCTACGGACGTGAGAAAGACGGATCAACACATCAGCAACACATCAGCAACTGGCTTCAGGCTACAAGCAGCGTATCAGAGACACATACAGTGCAGAAAATTTCTGTGCGGTTTTACATGCATTTACCCTCTGGTAAACATACAGAAAGCGAACTGGAAAATCACCATGCTATTAATGGGAAAATCCACTATTTCTATGGTCATTTTCAATAGCAAACTGTTAAACTACCAGGCCGGGTACATGCATTTGCAGAAAGGCAGCAAGGCCATTTGTTTGGGATAGCAGATCATACAGGATCGTCCCATTTTGTAGGTCAAGAACCCTGGTTAGGAAGTCCCCGAAGTGGGTTTTCCAATACTGTATATATAATTATGTTACACATATATAATATTATATTATAATGTACATATATATATACCTAGGAACCCAAATGAATGTTTTTTTTTGATCATACGGCCTCAACCATTTTTTTTGGTCATTACGGCTTACGGGTGTTTCCCAATTTGGGGGTTCAGCCATAATCACACACAATTGCTTCACCCCCTTTTTCTGTGCTTTGGACCATCAGCTTCAAGCGGGCCCGTCATCTCGGCGAAGCTTCTCTTCGTCGGCTGCTGAGTGTCAGGGTTCGGGCTGTTGACCCACGCTTTGTTTGCCATCACAAGATACCTTTGAAGTACTCTCAATCCAATTGCCCTGGGGGAAATGCGTCGGCTGACGCGACAGCATCTCCCCACAAAGTCCTGAAATGAGACATCCCCAGGGAACGGAAAATACAACAGTGATGACACATACTAGGATAGGACCACATAACGACCAACATATCAAAATTCAAATAAATTCAAACTAGACTCCTCATCAGCCTGCACTGACTCCGCTAGGATGTTCAGTGTCCATTTGTTTTGGGCTCCAGATACCAAACGACACCAGTGATGGTCCAACATGTGAAACTTAACATAGATCGGGAAGCGTGATTTTCGCTCAGTGAAGCACCTATAGGCAAGATTTGCATAGATACGTAACCACTTTCTTCCGTTGTTTCCAGCTGCAAGCGCTTCATTGGACGTCAGCCACAACCCAGACGAGTAACGAATTGAAAAAGTGTCGTTGGCCGCTTTGACAGCTTCAAGAATCATCAAAAAATACTCGTCCTCATTGAATTGATTAATCCTCCCTGTCAAGAACCATTCCACAAACCTGTGGTAGATATGCGTGTCAGCAAACTTTGACCAACCTCCTTCAGGTAAGACCTGGAAGCTTGTAAGGCCAATTCTCTCCGCAACAAATGGACCTGAATGAGGAAGGTTGCAACCCGGCCGTTTGGCCCACTGACGTAGGAGAACATCCAACTGGGAAATTTTGTCTTCCCTTGACCCCGGCAAAAGAAGCAAACATTCAGCCAGCACTGAAGCTATGAAAGTTTTACCTGCTCCTCCATGGTAGTTGTGCCAAACATCAGTCTTGAGATAGTCATGGGGACGATCGATACAATGAAACAATTGCAGCACTGAAGGTCGTGTAACCCAAGGATCAACTGTAGCAACCACAGACCATTGAGCATCTATGTTGAAATCTTCAAAAGGCCCCCCTGGCTTTGTGCCAGCCAAGCACATCCAACAAACCCCAGGAGGAGATTTGTTTTCCTCTGACCTGTGCGCCCTTTGCCAATGCCTCGTCAGGTCTCCAACGGTCCTCAAAAACGGAAGATCCCCTTTCACACCTAAGCAAGCGATGTTCCATCTTTCCCCTGCGTAGGTAAACCCAATGTCTTGAAGTTTGAGGAGGTCATTGATCATCTTGTTGAGTACAGCCTGGAAATTCTCCTGAGTAAGGATAGGGGGCTGAGTGGGATTAAAATTAATGTCACAGGAAAGGACAACCAAAGGCAATCTAAGAGGATAGAAAATGAATAATATCATAGTCCCAGAATCTGGTTTCGCCTTGTAATGTTTCTTTGGCATTGCAACAAACAGCATTCGACTGTTGAAAGAGCTCCCTTGAAGGTTGATACCCATCTTGAGTTGACGAAGAGATCTAATTGGATGTCTTTTGAGGAAAGGTTTGCTGCCACGACCAATGGCCCCTTGTAGGCTCAATATCATGACACCCGATCGTTTGAATCCACGACCTTCATCACCATGAATGTAAACTGGAATTGTTCGTGATAGCGACAGCTTGTTTTCAGCAGCAGCTCGAAAGACTCCATAATCTGGCCATTCAAGGCTGTAACGTCGCCAAAACTCTAACAACATTGGTTGCACTTGTTCCATGGGTTGTTCCCCAAACAACTTGGACAAGTTGTTGGATTGAACCAAGTAGTCAATGGTGTCAAGCATACTGAGCACAGGGTAGCTATCACCACCATCCAAGTCAACCCAGGAAACCGGAATCTTCAACGCCAGGTTGTGCTTCTCAAACCTTGGTTGGGGCAGGGTTCAAAGTTAAAAAGTGCAAGTTGAAATGCAACCCAAAGCATCCCTAAAAAGAATAATTGCCGTAATTTTTATATGGGATCATATGGAGTCAGCTTCAGCTACGTCACAGTTTATGGCATTCGTCTTCTGCTCTCTTAGTTGGCACACTTGCAAGACGGGAAGTGATTGGGCAACTTGTAGATCCATAATGATCGACTGCGGCCTTGCTCATCTCAGCTACAGACTTGGCGGTGGCCTGGGCGATCAAAATCCAATCGTTGGGGGTACAATAAGCTAGAGATCTGAAAAGGGTCATGTGAAAGAGATCATGCGAAAGAGGTCATGTGAAAAAGATCATGCGAAAGAGATCATGTGAAAGGATTCATGTGAAAGAGATCTGGTGAAGGAGATCAGGTGAGAAAAAAAACTTTGAAGCAGGAGCTTTTGACCTTTTTCTTTGCCAGGGATCGCTAGCGTATGTCATGTAATTTTCAGCATCACGTAGGGCAATGGGAGCACCACGTGGGAACAACAGCGTGCACATTTAAGCAAATTTGCACAACAGCGCAAGCCATACTGCATGGCCTAGCCATAACGAATTGGCAATTGAAAAAAGCCCACTCAGCTGCCACAGCTCACATTTTGATCGGTTTCATCACGGTTCACTTCCAAGTTGATGAATTTCCAATTGCTAATGACCGTATCCAGAACCTGTAGTTGCTCCAAATCACGGAGTCTTTGCCTTGCTTCAAAGGCATGCTTTTCAAAAGGCCGTTTGGGTCCTGCCACAAACCCCCAGGGCAAGTCTGGGTCGTGAACACCCAAAGCTTCAAATGAAGCCTTCAATGAGGCCAGAATTCTTTCCCTTTTCTCAACTACACGGGCTCGAGTATCCATGGGGAGCTGACGACTAAACTATTCTGATTTTTTTTTGTCTTTTGGGCCAAATCTCCAGAATGGTGGCTTGTCCAAAGTATCCAAATATAATTCATAGTTTGATATAGTTTTTTTTTTTTCACCCTTTCCCTCTTGGGTCCCCGGCACCATTTGCAATGCACGATGCTGCATGCTTTCCCATTGGTCCAACAACACCTGGCATGGCCAAGGTGCTGATGCGATGGCAATGGGATCTACAGAAACAGTGGGAAGGCCAGGGATGGGTCTTTCTGGGCATGCTGCACTGCATGGATAAGATTTGTTGCACTACCCGTGGACGATTTTTTTTTCATGGAATTCACGCTAGGCCCAGGTGAGCATGTTCAGGGTTGACTCCAATGCAACCACACGCTTGAAAGGGCTGTGAGATCGATCCAAAGCAAATCATTTCAGAATTGCAAAACCCCATTTCATGAAGTTTGCCTTTACTTGGCAGACTTGGCTTTCGCCTTGCTCTTTGCCTTCGACTTTGGCACCTTTGGTGCTGGCAACTCAGAATTGGTATCGTCGTTCTCAGACTTGCGCTTGGTCCGGGCAGATTTCAAAGCCGGCCTTAGGTATGACCATGTGGTGATATACCGTGATATGTGTATCAGACTTTATAAGATCGATTCTACTTCAAATATATATGATATAATATGAATGAATATACATATGCACATGTATGTTCACACTGTTCTCACCAGAATTTTCTGGGGCGAATGCTGGGCTTGGACTTCTGCACGTGTAGCCTTGCTTCCCCTGGGACGGCAAAAAACATAAACCCCATGGTTCCACCACCCATAGAAATCCAGTTGTTCAGAGTGGTTTTAAATCAAGGCACAAGACTTCTGCGTATTCCAATTGCTTGTCAATGTTCTGAGCCAACCTCAAAGTGCCGGGGCTGATGGAATGTCAGTAATGTTTTTGCTATATACCATTTTATAACAATAGATTCAACATGATTGTGCCAAAGAAACGTATCAGACGGTTTTGTCTTCACTGCACGGTAGCGAGCCAGGCTTGTAGCCAATGCATCATAGTGAGTGTCCATGGCTTCATAGGCAGTCTTGAGGATCGACTTCACACTTAGGGTATGGCTTTAAAT